AAGGAAGGCCTATTGCGCAAATCTTTGTGCAATGGGCTTCTAGTCTATATATATAAAACCCTAAGCGACCGGTTAACCATTCACTATGATGCACACTGTCCAGCAGGGGGCAGACACTCAACGCAGGAGCTGCCCCCTGGTGGTCAGTGTGCTCCCATAGCAGGAGTCCGCCAGCTGACCAACCAGCGCCAGATGCCGGGCTTACGTCTGGCAAGCACAGCTGTGTTGGCTGGAGCCTCTCCTGCAAACACTTCCCCTGTGTGCCCCTCCCCCATCTGGACTGGGACCAGCATCAGGACTGACTGGGCGTGAGCCCACGGCTGCTTCTTGGTCATGGGCGCCCCGATATTGCCATAGGATGGGCGCATGGAGACTGCAGCGGAGCAGCAGCGAGCCTACCAAGCAGCGGTGGTGGCAGGCACAGCAGGGCCAGGATGAGTGGGAGGAGCATGGCGCCCGGCCTGAGCTCGGGCTCCTCCCTGGCCGCCTGCCACTTCGCGTACTACTACGTCCCTCAGGGGATGTTGGATTGCTGGTTTTGGCCCGATCCCTGCAGGCCAAGCCAAGGGACCCCACCAGTGCACAAATCAGTGCACCGGGCCTCTAGTCTATATATATAAAAGGCTAAGTGACTGACCGTCCATCCTTCTGTCCGACCAACCGACCAGCTGGTACATATGACGCACACTGGCAATTTAAAAATAAATGTTGCCGAAACCGGTTTGGCTCAGTGGATAGAGCGTCGGCCTGCGGACTGAAGGGTCCCAGGTTCGATTCCGGTCAGGGGCATGTACCTGGGTTGCGGGCACATCCCCAGTGGGAGATGTGCGGGAGGCGGCTGATCGATGTTTCTCTCCCATCGATGTTTCTAACTCTCTCTCTCCCTTCCTCTCTGTAAAAAATCAATAAAATACATTTAAAAAAAAATAAAATAAAAAATAAATGTTGACTGGCGCATGCGTGATATATATAAAGCTCTCGCTGGCGCCAATCACACGTGTGTTTCGATCTGTCATTGTCGATCGTGAATTTGGTTGTTTTGTTGACATTCTGAAGCTGAAAGAAAGTGGCGGCAACGACAGAATATGTCTGAAGACCAAGTATTGGTATAACGTACCTTTGAAGCCGAAAGAAGCCAGCATCGTTGACAATAGGGAAATGACGAATAGCGATATTAAAATATTTCTTCTAATTAATTTCCTTTCAATGTGCACAAATCTGTGCACTGGGCCACTAGTTTAAATTATAAAAACCCACCACTTTTGATTTCAAGATTGTCTTGCTTGTATCTAAAGTATGTTTTGACATTCCCAAACTGTATGTAAAACATGGTACTTAGTTCATAATTCAGATTTTCAGTGAACAGATGCTCAAGAGCAGTGGTCGCCAACCGGTGGTCGGTGAGGTCCGAAAGGTTGGCGACTGCTGCTCAAGAGTATTTAACTCATACATTAAAACTACGTATTAACCCATAAAGCCAAAATGGCAATACTCTAGTTGGCTGAGCATCAGGGTAAACTCTAGTTTTAATACAACTTTAAACTTTGCTCTGATCCTATAGTGCTTCCCTTTGTCCTTCGTAGCACAACACAGATAATCAGAGTCATAGAGGCTCAATTAAAATCTTCCTTTGTAGCTGGAAGCCAAGGAGACACAAGTGCAAGTTTTTGGGCTCTCAGCTAGTGTACCCCTTCTTCCTGCCAAGCCCAGGGATGCAGGAGCGTCTAGACAAGCGGTTCCCAACCTGTGGGTCGCGATCCCTTTGGTGGTCAAACGACCCTTTCACAGGGGTCGCCTAAGACCATCCTGCATATCAGATATTTCCATTACGATTCATAACAGTAGCAACATTACAGTTATGAAGTAGCAACGAAAATAATTTTATGGTTGGGTCATAACATGAGGAACTGTATTTAAAGGACCAGAAGGTTGAGAACCACTGGTCTAGACACGATGAGGATGAGAGCCAAATGCAAAGGAGGGTGAAGCAGGAAAATAGGAGGTGCCTATTACGGGTCCCCGATGGCACCCTTATATGACTGCCCTGAACATGCAGGGACTACTTCCAGATTCAAAAGAAAAACAAAACCTCTAAGGCACCCTGTGTTTGTGGCCAAACACTATCTTAATATTGATCCTGAAACAACTGCCTTTTTTTTTTTTAATCCTCACCCAAGGATATTTTTTCCATTGATTTTTAGAGAGAGTGGAAGGGAGAGAAGTGGGGGAAGGGGTGGAAGAGACACATCAATGTTGAGAAAGACACATCCATTGGCTGCCTCCTGACCGGGCTGGGGATCAAACCTGCAACAGAGGAACGTGCCCTTGACCAGACTTGACCCTTTGGTCCTGGGGATGGTGCTCTAACTGCTGAGCCAAACCAGCCAGGGCACAACAGCCTCTTAAAATAAAAGGCAAACACATAAAGGTGTGATAAATATAGCAGTCAGTAACTTTATGTCCAAAGGACTCAAGGCACTTCCTGAAATATCTCATTTATAACTTTAACATACCAGGAAATACGTGGTTTCATATGTTTTTGGAAGAACCCACATAATAGCTACTTCTGTCAGCCAAATAATGAAAACTTCATAAATGCTAAAAATCTGCCAGCTATAAAAGTGAATGTCACATAAGGATGGATAAGAGAGTCCAGAAATAAACACATACATTTATAGTTAACTGATTTTTGACAAGGGGGCCAAGATAATTTAAAAGGGAAATAGTCTTTCCAACAAATGGTGCTGGGACAAGTGGGTAGCCACATGCAAAAGAATAAAGCTGGACTCCTACTTACATCATACTAGAAGCCCGATGCACAAAATTTGTGCAAGAGCAGGCCTTCCTTCCCCTGGCTGCTGGCAGCAGCTTCCCTCTGGCTGCCGGGAGGCACTCGGGACCCGGCTTCCCTCACAGCCCTGGCTTCGTCCGGAAGGACGTCCAGTCTAATTAGCATATTACGCTTTTATTATTATAGATATGAAAATTAACTCAAAATAGGTCAGAGACCTAAATATAAGAACTAAAAGTATAAAATGCTTATAAAATATGCATAAATCAACACTTTGGATTAGGCATGGTTTCTTAGATATGACACCAAAAACACAAGTGGCCGAAGAAAAAATAAACAAATGGGACTTCACCAAAATTAAAAACATCTGTACTTCAAAGGACATAATCAAGAAAGAGAAAAACCAGAACAGTATGGGAAAACATTTCTGCAAACATATCTGACAAGGGTCTAGTATAATTCAAGTTAAAAATGGGCAAAGGATTTGAATAAACATTTCTCAAAAAAAGATATACAAATGGCCGATATCCACATGAAAACATGGTCAACATTAGTCACTAGGGAAATACAAATAAAAACTATAATGAGATACTGCTTCAAACCCACTAGGATGTTATAGCCAAATAAGCGTTGGTGAGGCTGTGGAGAAATTAGAACCCTCACAGCCATTGTGGAAAAAAGTCTGGCAGTTCTTCGGAAAGTTAAACATAGTTACCGTATGACTCAGCAATTCCACTTGTAGGTATACAACCAAGAGAAATGGAAACATGTCCACACAAAAATGTGTACATGAATGTTCTTGGCAACATTTTCATAACCACCAAAAAGTACAACAACCCCGATGTCCAGAAACTGGACAAACAAAATGTAGTCTATTCAGACAATGGATTCTTCAGTCTGTTATCTGCTACAACACAGATGTAGCCTGAAGATATTATGCTAAGAACCCAGACACAAAAGGACAAAGCTTGTTTGATTCCAATAATATGAGGTGCTAGGTACTGGCAAATTCAGAAATTGAAAGAAGATTAGAGTTTACCAGGTAATGGTCAGTTTCCATTTGGGGTAATGAAAAAGTTTTGTAAATAAATAGAGATGAAGGCTTGGCAAGTGTGGCTCAATGGTTGAGCGTCGACCTATGAACCATGAGGTTATGGTTAGAGTCCTGGTCAGGGCACATGCCTGGCTTGCTGGCTCAATTCCAGTAAGAAGCATGCAGGAGGCAGCCAATGGATGATTCTCTTTCATCATTGTTGTTTCTGTCTCCCTCTCCCTTTCTGAAATCAGTAAGAACATATTTAAAAATAAATAGAGATGATGGTTGCACAATATTGTGAATGGAATGTAATTAATGCCAGTGAACTGTACACTTAAAAATGGTTGAAATGGTAAATGGGAAGAGAACAAAGTTATAACATGGACAAATCCTGAAAGCCTTGTTCTGTCAGTGGTCGGCAAACTGCGGCTTGCGAGCCACATGTGGCTCCTTGGCCCCTTGAGTGTGGCTCTTCCACAAAATACCGACTTCTGTGCATGGGCCACGAAGTTTCAATGCATTGTACCTGCGCGCCCGCACGTAGTATTTTGTGGAAAAGCCACACTCAAGGGGCCAAAGAGCCGCATGTGGCTTGCGAGCCGGTTTGCTGACCACGGTTCTAAGTGAAAGAAACCAGACACAAAGGCCACATGTTATATGACCCCACTGAAGTGAAATGTCCAGAATAGGCAAATCCAAAGAGACAGAAAAATAGGTCAGTGGTTGCCAGGGACTAGGAGGAAGGGGATGGAGAGGAATAGGGGACGAGAGGTGGTGTGACTGCTAAAGAGTACATCGTTGCCGAAACCAGTTTGGCTCAGTGGATAGAGCGTCGGCCTGCGGACTGAAGGGTCCCAGGTTCGATTCCGGTCAAGGGCATGTACCTGGGTTGCGGGCACATCCACAGTGGGAGATGTGCAGGAGGCAGCTGATCGATGTTTCTCTCTCATCGATGTTTCTAACTCTCTATCTCTCTCCCTTCCTCTCTGTGAAAAATCAATAAAATATATTAAAAAAAAAAAGAGTACATCGTTTGGGGGTGGTGAAAATTTTCTGGAATTAGTAGTGATGGTTGCAAAACTTTGCACATATACTAAAAACTACTGAACTGTACACTTTAAGAGGATGAATATTATCTACAAAAAATGTTAAGTGAACGGCAAAGGAAGAATGTTTTTCTGACACAATGTGAGAAATTCCTTTATTATTACTTATTAAGCACCAGCTTAATACTGCAGAAAATTTCAAATCACCCTTTGACAATTTGTTCTCCCCCCCCAAATTCTTAATAATGAACTTTTCAAGTAAAGACATGTTCTCTTCTCTCTTCTGTATAAAACTTTATGAAATAAAGGCAAAGAACTGTGTACATCTTGCAGTAAAATGCTGCCCACGCTGTGGAAACAGTGTCTGCCCAGCTCTCGTTACTGTCCAGGTCCTGAGAGGCTCTTGTTCATGAACTGTCTCTTCACAAAGCAAGTCCACCACTAACACGAGGGGACAAAACAGAACGCACAGTGGCAGTGAAATTACAATGCAAGTTCAAGGTAAAGCCAGAAAATGAATTTATTTAATATTAAAGTTTATGTTAGTCTGGCAGCCCTTATGTTATACACATTCCTTGAAAGCACATGTAAAAATGTAAAATTTATTTTTTATTTAGTGACTTACAGGTTACTCAAAATTACGAAGACAAAATAGAGGTAATAGATTCAAGATATCTCATGCCAAAAAAATCTGTCCTGATATAAGACCAGACAACCAAAAATTTTAATTATATGTAATCATTATGCACTCTGATTCACTGTGAACTCCTACCATGTACAAGGCACATATTCAAAATTTAACAACACGGCAGTTTGGAAACTAAAGGTTTTCTTGCAATGAAAGATCTTAGTGTGTTTTGTTTAATGGAGACTATAGGATAAAAAGTGAGTTATCAACTAAATAGGCAAAGAAGCGGGTCTTACCTTGCTGGGTTTATCATTCTGAGGGTCAAAAACTTTCTCGCAAAGTCTCAGTCCAGTCTCTTGCCTTAGCTGCTGCAAATAGGCCCTCATCACTTCTAAAATAAGGAGCAGGCAGAACAACACAAAAAACTGTATCACAAATGTGCTCGTGGCTGATTTGGACACTGACCTTTGCAATTTATTTCTGTACATTCAAACAGGATAAGAAATAGAAATGACAGTCTAAAAGGCTATATAGCCCTGGCCGGTTTGGCTCAGTGGATGGAGCGTCGGCCTGCGGACTGAAGGGTCCCAGGTTCGATTCCGGTCAAGGGCATGTACCTTAGTTGCGGGCACATACCCAGTGGGGAGTGTGCAAGAGGCAGCTGATCGATGTTTCTCTCTCATCGATGTTTCTAACTCTCTATCCTTCTCCCTTCCTCTCAGTAAAAAATAAATCAATAAAATATATTTTTAAAATAAAATAAAAAATAAAAGGCTTTATAACTATATTCATTTTGATCCAAAAGATTCTCTACATGTTATATTGCTATCAAGAATCTCTTGAGAGTGGCTAGTAAGAGAATGTATGTGCTAATGATTCCACTCTCAATTGTACAGCAATCAAGGCAAGAAGAGAAGGGGGGTAAAAAGTCAAATGGAGAAAACCTTGTGCCATATAGAGAGAAGTGGAGATACTGTCCTTACCGTCTTCCTGTTTGTTCGCAGGTTTGGCATAAATTGCGTTAAGTGGAAAACCAGGCTCTCCGGGAATGGGAAAATTAGTGATTCCCAGTGTATACATTTCTTTCTCACCTTGGCTTTTGGAATTGCACTAAAAAAAAAATTATTTGTACACATATATTTTACAGGGAAAAGGATAATAATATACAATTGCAATTTTTTAGTTTAAGTAGCTTTGGCCGGGGTTAATATTTTTGGTGACCTTTTGCCCATAGGCTTTACCTGTGGGCCCCTTCTCAGAATAATGTTTTAAATAATTAAAATATAATACATAGAATTATAAAAGAAACCAATTATACTGAAATGCAATAACTATAATATCAAAAAATTTGTTATAGTCATACATGTGCTTCTTTATTCATCCACTAAATACAAGATCTTGCCATAGCCCTACTAACTAAATTCTGAAGTAGTGATGTGTAAACAACGTTGCAAAAAATCTTCCACTCTAAATGCAAAATACTGTAGTTTCTATTGGAGAAAAAGTCACAAATATTGCTAAAACAACTGTGGGTTGTTGTCCACATTAATAATGAAAGTAAATGCTAAATTTCAGTAACAGGTTAGTGAAAAGAAAGATGGAATCTTTTCCCACTCAGGTTAATGGACCCCTGTCTATCCTTGGACTCCCAAGTTAAGAACCTCTGAGCCAGCCCTAGCTGGTTTGGCTCTGTGGATAGAGCATCAGTCTGCAAACTGAAGGATCCCAGGTTTGATTCCAGTCAAGGGCACATGCCCAGGTTGCGGGCTCGATCCCCACTAGGGAGCATGCAGAAGGCAGCTGATCAGTGATTCTCTCTCATCAATGATATTTCTACCTCTCTCTCCCTCTCCTATCCTCTCTGAAATCAATAAAAATATACTTAAAAAAAAAAAAAAAACCTCTGCCCTGACTGGTTTGGCTCAGTGGATAGAGCGTCGGCCTGCATACTGAAGGGTCCCGGGTTCGATTCCAGTCAAGGGCATGTGCCATGGTTGCAGGCACATCCTCAGTGGGGGGTGTGCAGGAGGCGGCTGATCCATGTTTCTCATCGATGTTTCTGACTCTCTGTCCCTCTCCCTTCCTCTCTGTAAAAAATCAATAAAATACATTTTAAAAAAAAAGAACCTAGGAGCCAAAGGCTTAAAAAGGATTTTTTTTGCTCAAGATTTCTGTCTTAGGAAAATACATGCAAAGCCGTATCCTCTGATTAGTTAACTACACTGTAAGTTTAGAGATCTACATTCAGATTTTTCTTTCAAGTCCATGCTCTAAGAGGAAATATGTTCTATTTGCCCTTAAAGTCTCATCGAGTCCAAATACCTATCAGTAGTTTGTTTTCCTGACAGATGATCATGCAAGTTTAATTACCTTTTGGAGTTTCTTTAGACACTCAGAAATGTAGAGAGTTATGTATATCAAGGTTCTATCAGCTTCATTCTACAGAGGGGAAAACAAAACTTAAAAACAGTCCTGAACAAAGCTTAACAATTATGTGCAACAAATGAATTCACATCTTTGTCTTCTGATTACCAACTGAAAACTGCGAAAGTATAGTTACTATAGCATCAAAAATTCCCATTCTCCAGCCCTAGCTGGTTTGGCTCAGTGGATAGAGCGTCGGCCTGTGGACTGAAGGGTCCTGGGTTCGATTCCAGACAAGGGCACATGCCTGGGTTGTGGGCTTGATGCCCAGTGGGGGACATACAGGAGGCGGCCAATCAATGATTCTCTCTCATCATTGATGCTTCTATCTTTCTCTCCCTTTCCCTTCCTCTCTGAAATCAATAAAAATACATTAAAATTCCCATTCCCCAAATGCAATCTTCTGAAGCCCCCTTTCTGTCTGCCCTGAGCTGCTCCTGTTGTCCTCCGTTCCTCTTGCCCTTGGGTTCCCGAGGAACTGTGCCAACAGCCCCTCACTCTGTGTAGGAAGCTGAGTTCACAGAGCTGCCAGGAAAGCTGAGGTGCACCATATGGTTCGCTAATTTTAAAAAACCCTTTCATTTTAGGATCTCTGCCGAGAACAGAAACATTCATGACTCTACAAGAGGAAACAATATTTCACGTGTGACTTGTTCTTGAAGAGCTCTGTAAGCCCAACTCTTAACCTAAAGGAAAATGTGGAAAAGGTGAATGGGTGTGGATCCAATGTGGCACGTACTTCAGGTCAAAGTTTACACAGATTTGCCCCACCACTGTGGCTCAATGGTTGAGCATCAACCTGTGAATCAGGAGGTCGCGGTTCAATTCCCATTCAGGGGACATGCCCGGGTTGCGGGCTCAACCCCTATAGTGTGGGGCATGCAGGAGATAGCTGACCAATGATTCTCTCTAATCATTGATATTTCTCTCTCCCTTCCTCTCTGAAATAAATAAAGATATACTTTTAAAAAAGTTTACACAGATTTATAGTTTAAAAAACAAACTATAAAAAATAAAACCAACAACTATAGTTTCCTATATTTCAGATCATGTGATATTCAAGCGAGAATGAAATGTGGCAGAATTTTATTTATTTACACCTATTACAAATAAAACACATTAAGACCATGCATTAGATACAGAAAACACTCCGCTAATAACACAGAATATTTAGACTACAATTTGTAAGCCAAGAATCTACAAATAAAGATTTCAGACCCTGTTTGATTCCAAAAAGCCAAAGTTTGGCAGGAAGTTAAAGTTTCATATTCTAGAATATTATCCATAAAATGTGTTGACATTTCTTGTAACTTGCTCATAGCGGAAGCTCAGAAATTTTTTTTCTATTTCCCTCTCTCCTTCTCTACCACCTTCACCTCGACCTGATTCCTACCAAGAACTAAGAGAAGGGGAGAAAGGGTGCTTGAAGGAAGGGTCAGGGTCATTGAAGTTTATTTCTCCATTTCAGGTCCAGGATACAGAAGTGTATAAAAAATAACACAGCATATAGGATTTTTAATTATAGATTGGTACATAGTAGGTACTTAGTTAATGTAGGATAAAGAAACAAAGACCAGATAATAAATATTTCAGGCTTTGCAGTTTTTATTACAACTACTCAACTCAACTATTGTGGCATGAAAGCAGCCATAGACAAAATATAAACAAATTTGTATAGCTGTGTTTCAATAAAACTTTTTTTACAAAAAGAGGTGGTGGGCCAGATTTGGCCCTTTGGCTGTCATTTGCCAACCTGTGGTGTAGACTTTGGAAGAAAAATAAGAAATTAATATTGACATAAAGCTTAACATTAAGTACTATTCTGGATTTTTAAAATCATATAATCTCATTTTATTTAGAGCAACCAGACTGCCAGCCAGATCTTTTTCCCATCAGAAAATTACCTAAATATTAAAAGCTGTATACTTTACCTTAATTTCATAGTTTTTGAAGAAGACATTGGCCTTGAAGTAATAGATGGCTTCATCCACAATATCTGTGTCTTTTGCTAAGCAAGATACAAGGGGAGGGGGCAGAGAGCATTAGCTTAATGCAAAACATAACATCTAGAAAAGCTATAATAAAAAAAAGTTATCCAAGATTAATGAACAGAAGTTTTGGAGTTGAATAAAATAAAACGAGGCTACTGAAATATAAAGTCTTTAGACAATTTCTAGAGAAATACATAATTTATTCTTATAGCTTTATTGTTTTTATAAAAACTATACATACTATTAGAAAGATTAATCAATACCAAACAATTTTTAAAAAATATATATTTTTATTGATTTCAGAGAGGAAGGGAGAGGGAGAGACAGAAACATGAATGATGAGAGAGAATTATTGATTGGCTGCCTCCTGCACGCCCCCTACTGGGGATTGAGCCAGCAACCCAGGCATGTGCCCTTTCCGGAATCGAACCTGGGACTTTTCAGTCCACAGGCTGGCGCTCTATCCACTGAGCCAAACCGGGTAGGGCCCAAAGAATTTTTAATTGTCACCCTAATCTCACTTCCAAGGAATAACTACTATTAACACTTGGTGAACATCGTTCCAGACATCTCTCAAAACAGACTGAGACATAGACTAACTTTAATAAAATGACTTAAAAAGCATTCAATATAATTTTATTTGAATGTACATACGAGTTTCAGAAAAAACAACACACCTCTTAACTGTCATTTAGAAACCCATTGGGGTTCCCATGGACATCTTTCTGTTTATACTATGACTTCAAATATATTTGCACAAGCTGTTCTAGGTGCTAGAAACTGAAAAAAGCCAGAAATACTGTTGTGACAAAGACAAATCTCATTACAATTTTTTTGGCAATTTTTTGTTTTCCTTTTTTTTATTTTAAAAAGGTTACAATCCCAGGGTCTTGGTATCCAGCAGCTGGTTTCAGCAACACAGAAACAGTTATTTTTATCTCTCGCCCATGCCTGCTATCCCTCTCACACAGCAGAAATGCAAAATAATCCTGAAGTTTTAATACTCTGTAAATCAGCAGTCATTATTCCTGCTCATTTCTCTGCTAAAGAATTTCAATAGAATTTGAACTCTAGATGTGTATTCCTTGCAATCTATTTTCTTATCTGTAAAAAAGAAAACTTCCTCAAAGGTTTCAACAGTGTTTATAAAAACCAGCTAGTTCTTTTAAATGTCACCATAGGTGGTGGGGAGGCTACAAGGTTCAGAACCTCGGAGGGTATTTGGCACATAAAAGGTGTTCAAAAGATACTTGTAAATAATTAGATTAATGCTAAGAGTTATTTAACTCCCAGCATAAGCTTACATTCATCCATAATTCCAATTTGGTTTGAATCCAGTCCTCTGGGGAACAGTAACAGGTCATTCCTTATCTGTAGAAATCTTCAAAGAACTGTAAGGGTGGTAATCAGATTAACTCCTTGGTCAATTGCATCTTTTGACACACCATATGGTGTTTTGTGCCGATCTGAAAGGGTTCTTCTCAAGGAATCTAAGCCAACATTGGCTATTTTTTCTCTGCACTGTAATTCTTTTACGTCATTTTTCTTCTCTTTGGTCTGCTTTCTTTTCCCCATCTGTTCCTTTTATTTCATTTCAAAATCAAGTAAAGACTATAGTGACTCACCAGATTTATTAAGTTTATTGAGCTTGCAATTAAATTTTAAAAGGTCAAGTCTAACAGTCTGGCAGGACGACGGAGAGGGCCTCAGTACAAAATTATTAATTAAAACCATGGCCTTGGAAACCATGAATGGAACTCAGTGCAGACCCCTTCTGGGTGCAGGGAAACCATGTCTAATATAATACACATCATACTGTTGGCAGATTATCTCAGAATGTGTCTGAAGAGTCTCAGATAGTGTCTAAAAAGAATGGAGCTTCTGAACAGTAAAAAATGGTTCGGGGTGCAGGAGGAATGTGAGTACCAAGAAAGAAAGCAGATATAAAATTCAGAATTAGTAATGTTTTTTAGGACACATCTTTTAACATATAAGATTGAGCCCTGGCTGGTGTGGCTCACTTGGTTGAGTGTTGTCCCATGCACAAAAAGGTTGCCAGTTAGATTCTGGTTGGGGCACTTTCCTGGCTTGTGTTTCACTGTCACATTGATGTTTTTTTTTCTCTCTCTCTCCCTTTCCCTTCCTGTCTCTCTAAAAGTCAATTTAAAAATCTTAGAAAAAAATATATACATATATATATTTAAGATTGAGGTATTGCTAAAAATTGAAACTCTTGAGCAATGGAAAAAGGAAATAGAAGGAAAAGAGATTAAAATGTTTTGTTTTGCCCTAGTTGGATTGGCTTAGTGGCTCAGTGGTTGTAGGCTCCTCACCGGCCTGGGCCCTGGTAAGACCACTCTCTCTAAAAATCAGTGGAAAAATATCCTCAGATAAGGATCGAAAATGAAATTAAAAAAAAAAATTTTTCCCCCCAGCTTGATAACAGAGAAGGGGTGGGGACATGGAAGTAGCAGCATTAGATTAGTTTGTAAGAACTGACAGTCATAACAGAAACAGTGTCAAGATTTAAGTGTCAACATTTTCTCTCTTCCCTCAACAAAATATCCTGGAGAAATTAGCAGCAAAGATAGTTTCCTATTAGATGCAACATATACCCATAATCTTGAAAGGCCTAAAAAGCAATGTCCACCAAACAAATAGAAAATACAACAGCAACCAGAGACAGAGGACTGAGCCAAGAATTTCCCTGACTTAATGTCAGAGGGTTGCTAGATGCTTCACACCAACATCTGAAAATAATGGAAAGGGGTTTCGACTTACTCTCTCTAGGGGCAGGTCCTTTGAACTGACTTCTGATGGGCAACAGTGCCATGTTTCCAATGAGTTTGGTGTCGGGGTCCATGAGAGAAGAGTGGTAAGCCTGTCGTGGCAAGCCGGATAAGAATACAGAAACAGAAGAACAAATGTCAGCAAGGCAAACAAGTACATTTCTCCAAAGGAAAAAAAAGAGTAACCCACCCAAAGATGAACTAGGGCGTGTGGCAGAGGGGAGGGTGGCAGCAATATGCAAAGCTGGCTCTTACTGGCTCATGAAAACCAACTGTTACCTTTTTAGGAATTTTCAAAAATTAAATTATATAAATTTGCAATAAATTATATTAAAAACAAACGGTAATAAAGATTCAAAATGCATTACTCCTTATTTTTAAAAATTATTTTACTGTTGCCCATGATCTTAAAGTTATTTATGTCTTTTGTATCTTGATGGCAGAAATAGCACTACCAGTACATAATGAATGGGGTGCTACTGTGCATCTCTTTCCATTTTACATTCAGTGACATCACACTGGCAACTGGTGGGAATAGTTACACTGCAGAAATAGGCAAACATTATATAAAGCAGGAGTACCCACCCATCAGCTGTGGTTAAGCCAGAACCCAAGCACTGGTTTTTCTGTTCTGCCACTTCCTAGCTTTATATCTTTGACCAAAACATCACTTTTCTTAATCTGTTTCCAAATTTGTATATTGAGGAAAATATACCACCTTCATTGGGGAGGTGTGAGTTAAAGGATGAAGGGGGTAAACTCATTTATGAGAGCAATATGTATATGATTCCTAGTTCTGCCTTTTACAAAATGTCTGGCTTTTTGTAAGACAACACGGGCCCCATTCACGTATTCATTCATTCACCAACTGATTACTAAGCACCTTCTGAAGGCAAGGCTTGGTCATTTACAAGTATGCAAGACCAGTATGGTCTCCATCCTTGAAGAACTTTCGGGCTAATGGAGAAGACAGATATTAATTGAGTAATATCAAGATATTAAATAAGTGCTCGGTGTCCAACTGGAATGAGCGCAGGGCTTGTAGAGTACTGGCTTAAAACCTGGCTTACCAAGGCATTTGCACTAGAGTGCAACCTTGGGTAAATTACTTAACTTCTCTCAGCCTCAGGTTCCTCCTCTGAAAAATGATAAAAGAATAACATATCTGCCCTAGACGGTTTGGCTCAGATAAATCTACCCCACAGACTCGCTATGGGCCTCCAGACTGAAGGGTCCCAGGTTCGATTCCGGCCAAGGGCACATGCCCAGGTTGCAGGCTTGATCCCCAGTAGGGGGCGTGCAGGAGGCAGCCGATCAATGATTCTCTCTCATCATTGATGTTTCTATCTCTCTCTCCCTCTCTGAAATCAATAAATTAAAAAAAAATTTTTTTTTTTTTTTTAAAAAACAATCTACTTCATAGGATCACTGTGAGGATTAAATGGGATAATTTATATAAAGTGTGTAGCTCAGGGCCTGCCTGGAACACATCAGGAATCAAATGGTCGCTATGGAATTCACAATATTTGTACCGATAACTATGGCTTGCGCCTTTTTTTTTTTAATCACAGGTATGCTTCATCTAAAGCAGCCTCCACCATCCCCTTCACCAGCTACTACAACCACTGTCTTGTTCCCCATCTATGTTCTTCATAGCATTTGGCACTATCAGAAATTATCTCATTTTATTTGCATTTATTTGTTTCCTGTCCGCTTCCCTATTAGAATGTAAACTCCGTAAGAACCGGGATTTGCTGCCCTAGTCACTGCTGTAACCGTGCTTAGCACGCAGGTGCTCAGTAATGTTTGTTGTTTGAATAATCCCATGTTGTTGAAAACTTCCTTTTCCCTAATCTGCAAAATGGAGGCCTACCACAACGGCGATAAATCTACCCCACAGATTGGCTATCAGAAATTAAGAGAAACCAGACCACCACTAATTTTACTCCTATTCGAATGCACAATAAACCTGAAACGTGTGGAAACCAGGCTCGGCCCTTGCGTTTGCCCCGGGGGCCCTAAACCAACAGGGCAGGGGTGGTGGCCCCAGGGGAGGAAGTGGGGTCTGACAGAGGACAGGAAGCGGAAGGGACCCGTCCCCTGGGTTGGAGAAGGAAGTGGGATTCAGAAAAAAGGAGAAGCCGGACCCTGGACTAGAAAAACGAAAAATAAAAAGTGCCTCCCCTTGACTTAGTGGCTCCATGAGGCTTTGGGGACCCAGCCAGTGTCGGGGGTGGGGGGTGGGGGTGGGGTACAGAAAGGGCAAAGGTGGGGTCGGCACTGGAGAGAAGGGGCCAGAGGGCCGAGGCAGCCTCTCTCGTACCCCTGACCGACACTCGCCGGTTCCCAATCCTACAGGAACTGGCTCCCTCCCCTCTCCCCCGCTCTGGACCCTGCTTCCTCTCCAACGGGCTTGGCCCGCTTCTCTCGGCGCACGCACATTTCTCACCGCTCTCCCCAATTCTCGCCATCACCTCACACCCCTGACTCGGGCTCCTTACCGGCATCTTGACGTCTCCCGAGTTTCAACTCAATGAGGAGAATCGGGTTAGTGAGAGGAGCTTCCGGTCCGGCGCTTGGGCGGGGTAGGCGGAAGTGAACCGGAAGAGGAGGGCGAGGGGACGATTTGCGCTTCCGGCCTTGAAGTTCCGCCGCTGGCTGCTGGGGCTGCGGGAATCCGAAGGGGCGCCAGGGGGCGCGCCAGCCCTAAGTAGAGGCTGAGTGTCACGCATGCGTGAGGCCTGGAGCTGGCGATGGGTCTTGGGGTTACAAATCCCTGTGAAGCATTACCTGGGTCACACTATTTTATTTTATTTTTTAATACTTTCAAAATAGACTTCAGAGAGGAAAGGAGAAGGAGAGATAAAAACATCAATGAGAATCATGGATTGTCTGCTTCCTGCACGCCCCGCACTGGGGATCAGCCCGCAACCCAGGCAGGTGCCCTGACGTGATTCGAACCATGAACTCCTAGTTCATAGTCTTCCCTCTTAACTACTTTTGGTATTTATCTCCCCATCCATGTGAACAAAAAGGCAGGGATTTTTGTCTGTTTTGTTCACTGCTGTGTATCCCTGTCTAAAAAAAAAATGTGATGATACATAAGCATTAATAAATTTTTGCTAAGGGAATGAATGAACCTACTGGTTTTAAAAATGGAGAGCCCATTGGTAAGGGATTTGTGGGTTACTCTGTACTGCAATTCTTTGTGTAATGACTGAGAAAATGGACTCTGGATTTGAATTCCAGCTCCTACACTTACCAGGCTCTGTAATTTTGGGCTAGTTAATTAATCTAGCTTATCAGTTTCCTCACCTGTAAATGGAGATAACAGTACTTAATTCAGTTTTGTGAGGATGAATGAATTGCATGTAATGTGCTGAGAACTTCTGAGGCTCAGGAATTTTAAAATTACTAGAAAGCACCTCATGTTAAAAGACAAGTTCATTCCTGCTTTGGCCCATTTCTTCTGCCAGTTCCCCAGACTAGAACACTTTGCTCCTGGTTCCCACACTGACTTCTCATTTTGGTCTCCTGTCAAATAGGAGGCGCCTTCTTTGACAATGAGCCCAAAGTAGCCTGTTATCACTTTCCCTTTCATTACTGTTTCTTCTTCCCATTCTTTATCAGAGGCTTCCCTGTTTATGGTTAATCTCAAGGACCCAGCACGTCAGCTCCAAAGAATAAGGATTAAAAAAAGAAGAAGAAGAAGAAAAGAATAAGGTTTTGTCAAGCTCCCATTTTATTCCCAGTGTCTGGCATCTCCTACTTGGGAAATTTTACAAATTCAAAAATTTTGCCTGGCTGTTACTTCAAATTATGAATGGAGAACAAGAGTGTAATGAAAGATTAATGCTGTTTCTTTTATTTATATACATACGTATCTTTAAAAATTAGTCACTTTTCATTTTTTAATTATACAAATAATACATTTTCAATGTAGAAATTTGGAATACATATAAACAATGGTTTTACCTATATCCTACAGATTTTCACCTTTGGATATACATATTTTGTTACAATAATTCCTGCTCCTCCAAAAAAACCTTCAAAAATAACAAAACCAAACAGAAAAAATAAAGGTAGGCTGGTCCTAACTGTACCACAGGTGCTAATTTACATTATATACAAATCTATGTGAATTAATTTCAATTTCAACTTTTAAAATCTAAACTGATGCTTAGTAAAAATATAACACTAAAAGATTCCACTTTAAACAGCAGCAGTTTCAGAATAACCAAGAACTTGACTCTGGTGTGCTGTTGATAAAGAGCCAAGTATTATTTTTTTCATTAAAATAAGCAGCTTTTTAGTATTGCATCCTTTGAGAAAAATATTTTGCCGGTTCAGCCACAAGCTCTTTGCACATATACATTTACATGTTAATAAACTCTTTATTCATTCTGATGTTCTTGAAAATATTCATCCAACATAGAAGACGACTCATCTTCATGTTCCTGACACAAAGGAAACACAAAAGAGAAAATACATTGGTCTCCCCTCAGTTAGACATAGTATGTGTTTACGTATTTTCCAGGTAATGCTCTGTAAGGAGCTAACACTCAGTGCTGGCTCCTGGTGCTGCACATAGGTAATAGTTAATAGTAACAAAAGGCATGACTGAAAGTATATTTAAAGTGTTTATATCTCATTAGAAGCGAATTTCTTCTTCTTTTTTTTAATCCTCACCTGAAGTCATTTTCATTGATTTAGAGAGGGGGAAAGAGGAAGAAAGGTAGGGACGGAGGGAGGGGGAAAGACAGAGGAAGAGAGAGAGAGAGACAGAGAGAAACATTGATCAGTTGCCTCCCATATGCACACTGACAGGGAATTAAAACCTGCAACTCAGGTACGTGCCCTGACTGGGAATTAAATCCATGACCCTTCCATGCATGGGACCACATTCCAACACACTGAGTCACAGAAGCCAGGGCTAGAAGCATTTCTTACACCAGTTCTCAGCTATCTTACTGTGCTAATACCCTACTGAAAAGTATCGTTAGTCTTTCTATTGACCTATGTGAGGACAGCCCAAATTCAATTGGATTTTACCTCCTTTTTGCATCTATCCCAAGCTCTGAGTACTAAGAAACATAAATCAGTAATAGTGTCTCAATAAAAAATAGAGTAAAACTGATATTGCTCTTTGAGCTCAGGAGTCAATTTCAGGAATCACCCAGAGAAGCCCAGGTTACTGCCACCACTAAGACAAAAATTAATTTGAGTTTCTGGATTACACAGGAGATCAAGGATTGCCGGCAAACATTTTTACTAAAAGCCAATAAATACCCTAAACCAGGAATTACCTTTGGTTCTTTAAATTCCAAGTCTTCTCCATACTGAATGGCAAAATCAATATGCTGTAATACAATGTTCATGCTTTCTTCATCTGACTGATCGTAAGGCAAAAATCGAACCATGCTGTAGTCGTCAATCTATAAGTTGGAGATTTCAGAAAGGGTCATTCTGAAACTCTGCAACATGCTTAATTTTCAACTTATATATTTGAGGTTTATAACCATTTATCATTTGATAGACAGAGACAAAACGGAAAATCAATATTCATTTTTCTGGTTTGACTTACCAGAACACTCAACTTACTACATAACTAGATACTGTTTCATAGGCATTTATCTGAATTCAGCAACCACTGGAAATTTCAACAGGGCACAGACAGTTCTGAATTCCCAAAATGGCTTGGGATAATGGACATGTCAGTTAATTTACTGGCTATCACCAATAACTGCTTCTAAATTAAACGGGGGGGGGGGGGGGAGATGAAAAAAAAAATTAAACTGCTGACTGGCCAGCCCACAGCCTGTCACCACCACCTCCCCATTGCAAGTAGGACTGGATTGTGCTTCCGTAATGTTGGCCACTGACTGGACATCGATGAATAACAAAAAACAACAACAACAACAAAAATTTAACCAGCTTACCAGTCCACATACAGCTTTAGTCAATTTTTTGAATTTTTTGCTTCTTAAGTCACTTGTGGAATCATCTAATAAAGAATACATGTCTGGATCTAGAAACCTTTAAAAGTGAGAAAGAGACTGATGAATAAAAGGAAGAAGAAATCCAATTTACAGACAGACAGAACCTCACATGTAAATAAAGAAGATTCATCGCTGCAATTGAGATCTGATTGTAGTGGAGGCCATGAACTCACTTCTCAATTTCCTTCTTAGCTTTCTTACTCAGCAGGTCCATTTTCGTCATGATGTTAACTTGTGGAATTTCTAGAGAGATCATAGCGCTCAGGGCCGCCAAGATGCCAGAAATAAACTGAAGAAGGAAAGAGGAAAGGGAAGATAAATCAACAGGTGCCAACAAAGTTCCCTGGTCTCTGAATGAAAGAGAGGCTTCTGTGCCTCACTGGAGCAGAACTGGCCTCAATCAAAGAAACACTGATCCTAAAGAAAGGACAGTCCACTAATCAGAGGGCTGACCCTTGGTTTCCGAAGGTGAGGAGAAAAAAGGTGTAGATTTAATCTGTGGTGGTCACAAATCTCAATTTAGACCATATCTTTAACCTTCTTTCCCATAAAAAATTCCTTAAGCGCTATTAATGAGAAATAAAGTTTTAGACAGTTCATAAACTAGACAAATAGCCCTCAGAAAATTAAAAATGCACATACATAATATGCATCTGCCTCATTTTTCTCAGTAAGTAGTTCTCCATATAATATCATAATTTACCATCTGAAGTGAAAATACATTATTATAATAATTTTATAAGGGATACAAAGTAACTCTAGAGTATAGTTTGTGAAATGTCCGGAATCACACAATGATTAAAGGAGACTGCCATCTGCTTGCACCCATGACTGAAATATCAACAACAGATTTATCCTCAAACCTTAAAAGACTCCACCATAAACTGTGAATCGACGAGAAAAACTCCACAGACTCGGAACTCCCACTGTTCTAGCTGCTGGACCAGTTGTTTCATCACAGGCAGATGCGTATACAACTCGATCTGACCTACATGAAGAAAATTGCAAGACTATTACAATCAGAAAATGTTAAAAAATACAAAAAAAATTTACCCATAAGATGGTTAAAAAAACAAACAAACTGCCCTGCTGGAGTGGCACAGTGGTTGAGCATCGACCTATGAACCAGGAGGTCACGGTTCAATTCCCAGTCAGGGCACACGCCCGGGTTGAGGGCTCAATCCCTAGTAGGGGCATGCAGGAGGCAGCCGATCAATGATTCTCTCTCATCATTGATGTTTCTCTCTTTCTCTCTTTTCCTCTCCCTTCCTCTCTGAAATCAATAAAAATATATTTTAAAAAATTAAAAAAAAGGAAGTCAAGCCCTGGTAGTAATATATTCCATTTTAAGGAGTCTTCTAGCCTCTTGAAGCAATCACAAAATCATGAGGTTCATCATACTTTTTAGTTTTTGCCCATCAAAAGCAAGCGCTACAATTTTGTTAACCAGTGTCACCCAATAAATTCAATAAAAGGAAAAATAAAAAAGTGAGTGCTACAAAGGCATTGCAGTTTAGGAATATTCATCAAACTGAACACTTATGACATCTGAACTTTTCTGTGGGTGTGTGTATGTTCAAT